ATGTTCAAGTCGGCCTTCAGGCTTCCGCATAACTTTTATATAGTCCTCCATCGTCATCCCTGAAATGTTCCTCCAAAGATGCCTCATTTTGATCACACTCACCTAATTTCCCTTCCTGGAAGATGCCATCTGTCTTCTGCCATGTTGGCATTATCCTTGCTCCTCCCTGGTGGAGGGCTCCTCTCACGGCTCACTCCCTACCCCACCCTCACATGGCCACCCTTGCCTCCTCTCTGAGTCATCCCCTCCCTGTCCGCTGTTAGCACCATGGATGCTTGCTTTGGAGCATTTATCCTAATTGTAATTTGCTATTTATTTCTGGAACTCTGATTCATGTCTGTTCTCCTAATCAGACTGTAGGCTTGTGAAATCTGGGATTTTGCGGGAATGACAGCATGCCCTTCTCTCACCATTGCACACAGCTTTGGGTCCATTCTGTGAAACGCTCCCCCTGCAATCTGTGTGCTTTAGGCAGAAGGTTCTTCATACATGCATTACGGATTGATTAATTTTTAAAATAGTTCAGCAGGCTGTGGAGAGTCCGAGACAGCAGAAGTCTTTCTTTATTTCTTAGGAGCTTTGGAATTAGCAGATCACTTCAAGTCTTTAGGGCTTTGGGGAAGTGACTTGACAGAGAAAACGTAGGCAAGGTTGAATAATTAGTTTGGAGATTCACTGTTTGTGACTGTTAAGCCTTTCTTTCTAGTAGGACTAGAGTACGAGGAGAAAAGGAAGGCGTCAGAGGTGTTTCCGAGTCAGGCAGCGGCCATGGCAGCTCCCGTGAGAGGGCTGAGCAGTGAAGGAGCCCTTGACAAGGCTACTCCTGATGTGAGGGTGGAGGGGAAAGAGGGGCTGGGCAGGAAGGGCATGGTGCAGATGGGGGCCTGCACTCAGAGTGAAAGAGGCAACCAGAAAATGTACCCTGAGCAGTCCCCTGCAAGCCCCAACCCCCTTTCCATAGCTGCCTGCCTCCCTGGTGCTGTCAGGCGGCTGCTTATGAAATCTGGTACTGAGTTCCTAGGTCTGTATAGGACTGAGAGGGTCTTGTTGGGAGTGCTCCTGTGGCCCTGCTGTCCTGCCTGCTCCCCGCCTCCTTTCCTGGAATACTCTGCTTAGCTTTGGAGATTCCGAGCAAAGTTCTATCTGTTGTCTTTTCTTGTCAGGCAAATTGACCCCTTGCTTTCTTATGCCTGTGTTATGTCCATCTGTTTTTCCACTTTTCTAGTTATGCTTATTAAAACAGATTGCACTTGTTTATTGACATGTCTGTTTCTTCCTGTGAGCTCCTCGAGGACAGGGTCCATGCTTTGTTCACCTTTGTCCTTAGTGCCAGCCTGGTAACAGGCACATGGTAAATGTTGCGCAAGTGGCTATTGTTGGAGCCAATGAGTACATGAGTGACAGGTGATAGAGTGTGGTTCAGGAGAGCTGGGTCACCACATGTGATACACAGGTGGTGGAGGAGCCTCGTGTGACGAATGTTAAAAACTCAACAGGAAGATAGTGAAAGGGCGAAGTTGTGAACATAGTAGGGGAAGCAGGAGGAAACATTTGAATTTCTGCTTGATGAGGGTGCTGATGAAACTGGGAAGGATAGCTTGGAATGCATTGAGCTAAAATGTGAGATATATTTGAAAGTCATTTGATATCATTATAGTGGAAGGCAAGGCTTATATTCAGCACCTTTGCACTAATATGGTTATATAAGTTCTTATAATATGAAATACTTTCATACCAGTTGGTGAATAGATGATGTCAAAGACCAATATAAGTAATAACTGCCTATGATCATTACTATGTGGTGTGATCAAGTTGTCATTTAGTTAAAATCAAAATGACATCTGAATAAGGGCAACAGAGACTCTCAGATTCTGTGGATAGAGTGTAAATCAGTACAATTGCTTTGGAAAACACTTTGGTAGTCTCCATGCAAGTGACTACACATATTTCTTTTAATGCTCCAGCAATTCCATTCCCAAAAGAAATGGGTATATGTTGTACCAAAAGACAAGTGTGAGAATGTTCCAGCAGCAGTGGTCAAGCTATGCTGTGGTGTTAAGGGCCATCGCCATTACCTTTGGTGATGGTTACGTAGATGTTCCAGTTTATTGTTTTTTTTTTTAACTTTTATTGCAGGTTCAGGGATACGTGTGCAGGTTATATAGGTTAATTGCATGTCATGGGGGTTGGGTGTACATATTATTTTGTCCCCTAGGTAATAAGCATAGTACCCAATAGACAGTTTTTTGATCCTCACTCTCCTCCTACCACTTTTTGATTACTCATTGAAATATATAGATAGTATTTATAATGTCTTCATATAGGTGTTAAACTGTAACAGAAGCTTGTTTTAACAATTATATAAAAATAGGCTGGGCACAGTGGGTCACACCTGTAATCCCAGCACTTTGGGAGGCCGAGGTGGGCGGATCACCTGAGGTCAGGAGTTGGAGACCAGCCTCGTTAACGTGGCAAAACCCCATCTCTACTAAAAATACAAAAAAATTAGCTGGGCGTGGTGGCAGGCACCTATAATCCTAGCTACTAGTGGGGCTGAGGCAGCATAGCTTGGACCTTGGAGAGGGAGGTTGTAGTGAGCTGAGATTGCAACACTACACTTCAGACTGGGTGACAGAGTGAGACTCCATCTCAAAAAAAAAAAGAAAAAAGATTCTGGGTGCAGTGGCTCACACCTGTAATCCCAGGTCTTTGAGAGGCCGAGGCGGTTGGATTGCCTGAGCTCAGGAGTTCGAGACCAGCCTGGGCAACATGGTGAAACCCCATCTCCACTAAAATACAAAAAATTAGCTGGGCGTGGCAGCATGCACCTGTTGTCCCAGCTACTTGGGAGGTTAAGGCAGGAGAATTGTTTGAACCTGGGAGGTGGAGGTTGCAGTGAGCCAAGATCGTGCCACTGCACTCCCGCCTGGGCAACAGAGCAAGACTCCGTCTCTGGAAAAAAAAAAAATTATATTAAAAAATCTTATTTTAAGCTTGTAACAATATATACACCATCCTCAGTTTTCTTAGTATCCTTTTTATATGAAAAACCAGTTCTTTGATAGTGCTAATAATTTTATTGACGTTTCTTCCCCCAAATATTTTTTCTCATTTATTTGCAAATGAGTTTTCAAATGATCATTTTGCGAGTTTTGTTTTTTTAAAAAAACTATGTATGTTTTATATTTTTATATGCCTTTATCACACACGTACTTTCCTTCTCTCAAAGATTAATTTACTGCAATGTATTCTTCCCACACCCAACTTTCTGACTCAGTGGCACTTGTTCACCTCCCACATTAATTTTTAATCGATTAACTCATTCTTTTAAAGGATAAATTTCCATCTTAATTAGATGCTGGTGTGGAACTATTGATAAAAACTGTACCTTCTCATACTTTAGCTCCTTTTTTTCCCAACTTATATCATTTTTAGCTCAATTTGTTAAAAGGTCCAAACTTAACAACACCACACAACTGAAAAATGTTTGATCAGAGTCAATTCGAGCAGTGTTGCAGAAACAAAGTTACAGTTTATTATAGCTAGAGATTGGATTCTGTTACACTAAATAATTTGTATTTTGCCTACAGTGATATCTGCATAAGGCAAATGAAAGGAATTAACATTCTCTCTGATTCGCCAAGTCAGCAGTCTTTGAATTTCTAAGTGATCACAAATCTTGTATTTTTTAACCACATGGCTGTACTTATATTTAACTTTCCATTAATAAAGAAATAACTTCATAATAATTAAACAATGAAAATTGTATTGACTATAATTTATTCAACATTACAGAGGCAATAGTGTATTGATTAGAAACATGGGTTCTAGGTCAGACTACTGGGGTTTGAATCCCAGCTCATGTATTGTCTGAGTGACCTTGGGTGAGTCACTTATCCTTTGGGTACCCAGGTTCTTTGCAGAAAATGGTTACTGTGAAGATTGAAAGAGTTAGTTTATGTACAGCACCTAAGACAGTGCCTGGCACATAGTAGGCACTCAGTAAATGCTAGTGATTTGCTGCTATTGTTACATTTGCTGAAATATTATTTAGGACTGAGAGTGAATGTCAATTTAGAAAGTAAGAACATTTTGAATCACAGTTTATGTGACAACAAAAAGGACAATTTGGGCGAAAGGGAGTATATATAAAAAGAAATGATTATTTTTGGACAAACAGCTAGTTCCTAGAAAAAGGTCAAAGTTATTTTGAAGCTAACATTTGAATAAGAGTTATTAACTGAGAGAAATAAATTAGTGTTGGCAAGAGTGACTGCTGTTGATGGCTGCTCTGACGGCGTAATAATGGTTGGAGTGACCAGACAGACAGAATCTCACCATTATACTTCCCATAGATTGCGACTTTAGTAATAAATAATAGTAACTTGTGTTTTATGATGTAACAGTTAAGATCAAAAGGTATCTGCTGTGGTTTGATTGTCTACTCCAAAACTCATGTTGAAATTTAATTGTGATTGTAAAGTATTAAGAGGTGGGGACTTTTAAAATTTACTATTATTATTTTTTGAGACAGAGTCTCGCTCTGTCGCCCAGGCTGGAGTGCAGTGGCGCAATCTCTGCTCACTGCAACCTCCGCCTCCCGGGTTCACGCCATTCTCCTGCCTCAGCCTCCAGAGTAGCTAGGACTACAGGCGCCCGCCACCATGCCTGGCTAATTTTTTGTATTTTTAGTAGATGGGGTTTCACTGTGTTAGCCAGGATGGTCTCGATCTCCTGACCTCATGATCCACCCACCTCAGCCTCCCAGAGTGCTGGGATTACAGATGTGAGCCACTGCACCGGGCCCTAAGACGTGGGGACTTTAAGGGATGATTAGGCAATGGGGACTCCACTGTTATAAAGGGATTAATGACATTATCCTGGGAGTGCGTTAGTTACCACAGGAGTAGTTTCTTGATAAAAGAATGGATTCAGCCCGATTTTCTCACTGTCTCCCATGTTTACTTGTCCTTCTGTTTTCTGCTTTCCACTAAGGGAAGATGCAACAGGAAGGTCCTCACCAGTTGGCTGAGCAGATGCAGGTGCTGTGCCTCTGGACTGCCTAGCCTCCAGAACCGTGAGCCAAACAAAGTTCTATTCATTGTAAATACGCACTTTGTGGTATTCTGTTATGCAGCCGAAAATGGACTACAATAGTATTGTAAACTTGTATTCCGTGATATTTACCCAAAGTATGTAGAAAGCCTGGCTCAGAGCCTCAGAGCTGCCCACTGGACCCACAGCTGATCATAGATGCTTGTGTGAGCCCAGCCAGAACGAGAAGCTCTCCCAGCAGACCCATAGACTCAGGAAAAATAAAAAAGCTTACGGCTTAAGTCAATGAGTTCTTGGTGAAGCTTGTTACATATCAGTAGCTAACTGATAAAATCAGTTTTATCTGGAAAGACTGAGAATCTTTGTCTTACCTTTAAATATTAGTGATATATTCCTCAGGTTCTCAAACTCTCCAATAACTGTTAACAAATTCTTGATGTGTATGAAATCCATGTATGCTTCTAGGTTCTCCAGGTTGGTCATCTTGTTTTCCCCTCATTTGAGCCTGACTTCCCCTCAACTTCTAACCTGACTTTTATTTTTATGTATTTATTTTTAAAATTTTATGTTCCTGGATACATGTGCAGGATGTGCAGGTTTGTTACACAGGTAAACGTGTGCCATGGTGGTTTGCCACACTTATCAACCCATCACCTAGTTATTAAGCCCAGGATGCATTAGCTATTATTCCTGATGCTCTCCTCCCCAGTGCAACCCTGACAGGCCCCGGTGTGCGTTATTCCCCTCCTTGTGCCCACGCGTTCTCATTGTTCAGCTCCCACTTATAAGTGAGAACATGTGGTGTTTGGTTTTCTGTTCCTGTGTTAGTTTGCTGAGGATAATGGCTTCCAGTTCCATCCATGTCCCTGCAAAGGACATGATCTCATTCCTTTTTATGGCTGCATGGTATTTCATGGTATATATTTACCATACTTTCGTTATCTACTCTATCATTGATGGGCATTTGGGATGATCCAATGTCTTCACTATTGTGAATAGTGCTGCAATGAACATATGCGTGCGTGTGTCTTTTTAATAGAATGATTTATATTCCTTTTTTCTTTTGGGAATAATAATTAAATAGAATGGTTTATATTCCTATATTCCTTTGGGTATATACCCAGTAATGGGATTGCTGAGTCAAGTGATATTTCTGGTTCCAGATCTTTGAGGAATCACAATACCATCTTCCACAATGGTTAAACTAATTTACAATCCTACCAACAGTGTAAAAGCTTTCCTGTTTCTCCACAACCTCACCAGCACCTGTTGTTTCTAGACTATTTATTTATTTATTTATTTATTTATATTTTTTGAGACACAGTTTTGCTCTGTTACCTAGGCTGGAGTGCAATGGCATGATCTCGGCTCACTGCAACCTCCACCTCTAGGGTTCAAGCAATTCTCCCATCTCAGCCTTCCAAGTAGCTGGGATCACAGGCACCTGCCACCATGCCCAGCTAATTTTTGCATTTTTATCAGAGATGGGGTTTCACCATGTTGGCCTAGCTGATCTTGAATTACTGATGTCAAGTGATCCCCACCTTGGTCTCCCAAAATTCTGGGATTACAGCCATGAGCCGCTGCACCCAGCCATTTCTTGACTTTTTGATAATCACCATCTGACTGGAGTGAGATAGTTTCTCATTGTGGTTTTGATTTGCATTTCTCTAATGATCACTAGTGTTGAGCTTTTTTTCATACATTTGATGGCGACATAAATGTTTTCTTTTGAGAAGTGTCTGTTCATGTCCTTTGGCCACTTTTTAATGGGGTTGTTTGTCTTTTTCTTGTAAATTTGTTTAAGCATCTTGTACATTCTGGATATTAGACCTCTATCAGATGGATAGATTGCAAAAATTTTCTGCCATTCTGTAGGTTGTCTGTTCACTCTGATAATAGTTTCTTTTGCTGTGCAGAAACTCTTTAGTTTAATTAGATCCTGTTTGTCAATTTTCACTTTTGTTGCAATTGCTTTTGATGTTTTTGTCACAAAATCTTTGCCTGTGCCTATGTCCTGAATAGTATAGCCTAGATTTTCTTCTAAGGTTTTTATAGTTTTGGGTTTTACCTTTAAGTCTTTAATCCATCTTGAGTTAATTTTTGTGTAAGTTATAAGGAAGGGGCCCAGTTTCAATTTACTGCATATGGCTAGCTAGTTCTCCCAGCACCATTTATTAAATAGGAAATCCTTTCTTCATTGCTTGTTTTTGTCAGGTTTGTTGAAATAAGGTGATTACAGATGTGTGGTCTTATATCTGAGACCTCTATTCTGTTCCATTGGTGTATGTGTCTATTTTTGTGCCAGTACCATACTGTTTTGGTTACTGTAACCTTGTAATACAGTTTGAAGTTGGGTCATGTGATGCTTCTAGCTTTGTTCTTTTCGCTTAGGATTGTCTTGGCTATATGGGCCTATTTTGGTTCCATATGAACTTTAAAGTAGTTTTTTTTCTAATTCTGTGAGGAATGTCAATGGTGGTTTAACAGGAATAGCATTGAATCTATAAATTACTTGGGCACTATGGCCATTTTCATGATATCGATTCTTTCTGTTCATGAGCATGGAATGTTTTTCCATTTGTTTGTGTTCTCTCTGATTTCCTTGAGTGGTGTTTTCTAGTTCTTGAAGAGGTCCTTTGCTTCCCTTGTTAACTGTATTCCCTGTGTTCCTAGGTATTTTATTCTCTTTGTATTAATTGTGAATAGGAGTTCATTGATGATTTGGCTCTCTGTCTATTGCTGGTATATAGGAAGGCTTGTGCCTTTTGCACATTGATTTTGTATCCCAAGACTGCTGAAGTTGCTTATCAGCTTAAGAAACTTTTGGGCTGAGACAATGAGGTTTTCTAAATATAAGATTGTGTCATCTGCAAACAGAGACAGTTTGACTTCCTCTCTTCCTATTCAGATACCTTTATTTCTTTCTCTTGTCTGATTGCCCTGGCCAGAACTTCCAATACTATGTTGAATAGGAGTGGTGAGAGAAGGCGTTATTGTCTTGTGCTGTCTTTAAAGGGGAATGCTTCCAGTTTTTGCCCATTCAGGATGATATTGGCTGTGGGCTTATCATAAATGGCTCCTGTTATTTTGAGATATGTTCCACCAATATTTAGTTTATTGAGAGTTTTTAACACGCAGTGATGTTGGATTTTATTAAAGGCGTTTTCTGTGTCTATTGAGATAATCATGTCATTTTTGTCTTTGGTTCTGTTTATGTAATGAGTTATGTTTATTAATTTGCATATGTTGAAACTGCCTTGCATCACAGGGATGAAGACAACTTAATAGTGGTGGGTAAGCTTTTTGATGTGCTGCTGGATTCAGTTTGCCAGTATTTTATTGAGGATTTTCGCATCAATGTTCAACGGGGATTTTGGCCTGAAGCTTTCTTTTCCTTCCTTCCTTCCTCCTTTCCCTTTCCCTTTCCCTTTCCCTTTCCTTTCTCTTTTTTTTTTGTATCTCTGCCAGTTTTTGGCATCAGGATGATGCTGGCCTCATAAAATGAGTTAGGGAGATGTCTTTTCTTTTTAGCTTTTTGGAATGGTTTCAGAAGGAATGGTATGAGTTCTTCTTTGTACTTTTGGTAGAATTCAGCTGTAAATCCACCTGGTCCTGGGCGTTTTCTTGTTTGGTAGATTATTAGTGCCTCAATTTCAGAACTTGTTATTGGTATATTCAGGGATTCAGCTTATTCATGGTTCAGTCTTGGGAGGGTGCATGAGTCCAGGAATTTATCAGTCTCTTCTAAATATTCTAGTTTATTTGTAGAGAGGTGTTTTTAGTATTCTCTGATGGTTGTTTGTATTTCTGTGGGGTTAGATTTGAATATTCTAATTTGAATTTGAATATTCTATTTGAATTTGAATTCAAATAGATTTGAACAAATGGATGTTCCATTTATCCACTGTCTCCTTCAGTTTTGCTCCAATCTTGGTTATTTCCTGTCTTCTGCTAGCTTTAGGGTTTGTTTGCTCTTGGTTCTCCATTCTTTTAGTTGTGATGTTAGGGTGTTGATTTGAAATCATTCTAGCTTTTTGATGTGAGTATTTAGTGCTATAAATTTCCCTCTTAATACTGCTTTAGCTGCATTCCAGAGATTCTGTTACATTGTCTCTCTGTTCTCATTGGTTTCAAAGAACTTGATTTCTGCCTTAATTTCATTATTTACCCAGGAGTCATTCAGAAACAGGTTGCTCAATTTCTATGTAATTGTGTGGTTTTGAATGAGTTTCTTAATCTTGAGTTCTAGTTTGATTGCACTGTGGTCTGAGTGGCTGTTTGTTATGATTTCAGTTCTTTTGCATTTGCTGAGGAGTGTTTTACTTCCAATTATGTAATTTATTTTAGAGTAAGTGCCATACAGCACCAAGAAGAATGCATATTCTGTTGTTTTTGGGTGGAGAGTTTTGTACATATCTATTAAGTCCACTTGATCCAGACCTGAGTTCAAGTCCTGAATATCCTTGTTAATTTTCTTTCTTGACAGTGGAGTGTTAAAGCATCCCACTATTATTATGTGGGAGTCTTAAGTCTCTTTGTAGGTCTCTAAGAACTTGTTTTATGAATCCGGGTGCTCCTGTATTTTGTGCATATATATTTAGGATCGTTAGCTCTTCTTGTTGCATTGATCCCTTTACCTTTTGTAATTCCCTTCTTTGTCTTTTTTGATCTTTGTTGGTTTAAAGTCTGTTTTGTCAGAAACTAGGATTATAACCACTGCTTTTTTTCTGCTTTCCATTTGCTTGGTAAATTTTGCTTTATCTCTTTATTTTGAGCCTGTGTATGTCTTTGCACATGAGATGCGTCTCTTGAATACAGCACACCAATGGGTCTTGACTGTAACCAGCTTGCCATTTTGTGTCTTTTAATTGGTGCATTTAGCCCATTTACATTTAAGGTTAATATTGTTATGTGTGAATTGATCCTGTCATCATGATGCTAGCTGGTCATTTTGCAGACTTGTTGATGAAGCTGCTTCTTAGTATCATTGGCCTTCGTACTTTTGCAGTGGCTTGTAAT